AATTATGTACCGTGCCTTATTAATATTGGAGCGACACATAACAGGCGGACCTCTGGTTATTTACATATAAACAAGTGTATGTTTGAAGCTAGTGTTTGACCCAGTCAAGCATAATATCAATTAATACGTCATATGCTTAGACGTTGATTCTCTCAGTGCAAATTTAGAGTGCTCTTATAGCTCGATGCTTTCAAATAGGCACATTATTGAAGTGTATCTTAGAAAAGCCATTAATACTCCACTGATTAGATTAAGCATGCATAATTTAATTAAACTGATCGATCGGCTAATGCCCTAGAACAAAAATACTTTTAATGATCTTAATTGTATTATTGCATTCGTTATGGACTAAGCAGATATCTTCTCATCTGGATTTTACGCCTGAAATCAACTTTGTAATATGAAAGTACTGGATAGAATCCTTTCATACATTTTATCCTTAAAAACGAAGGGCAGCTGAAAGGCTTTCTCTAAACGACTTCTGACTACTTATAGCTTTTGGCTACTGCTTTCGGCTGAAATCAGCGTAGAACACGTTTATATTCACGAGTTCAAATGCGTGAACTTTAAATGTTCAGTTTTTCCATTTTGTTAAGTTAATCAGTCGTTCTAAATCCGGTTTTTCAGTGTGAACGTGAGAACATTGAGGCAAAATCCGTTCTCTGATAGGAATTTAATTGAGTCATTACTTTTAACCGAGGGTTGCTTGCTGCGACAGATATTTAGACGTCTCAGCACCAGTAAAATGCTTTTTCTACTAGGTTATGGAAATGCAACAGCAGCACAAGGAATTCCTATAATCGAAAGGCCATCGTTAATATATCACCACAGAAGAAGTTTGTCCATTCATCTTGGAAGACTACTAATCGTTCCACATCGCGAGTCTGCTGCTTCAGGGGGAGTTCCTAATGAAGCCGATCTGCTGCTGAACAGACAAGTTCCGAGGACTGAGGACGAGCCACAATACCAGGTTCTTAATATAATAATCGCGTCATGTGGACCTCCATTCATGTTGAATTGCCGAGAGGTTGCGCATTTCGGGTCCCACCTCTGCCATTCTCCTCGCTTGCCCAAACCATCGATTTGTGATTTCTCAATCTGCAAAAGAAGCGGCTCACAATCGAGGGCATATGGAACTACCGGGTTTCGCGCTTTCTAAAATCACGATTAATAAGCAAGTAATATTCGTAGAAATGAGCCTTGTAGCACTTGCCACCAAGAAGCCACTTCTCCAGCAGCACGGACCAAAGCTCGCCGTCTGACTTCAGAAGCATAAACCTGAAGAAGGTCCGTGGGACACCATTCAGCACGT